GTCGTATTAAGGAAGCATCAATAAATGAATCAACATTTATACTAGCAAAAAATTTGGAAAATCTCAAAGATTTATGGAAAAAGTCTTTCAACAAATCTACAAATGAACAAAATGATCCATTAATCTCAAATGATAAAGGACGTGAATTCTTCTTTGAAATTCTAGATATAGAATTCGATGGTATGAAGAAGTCTTTAATAAGAACCCAAGGAAAACAATCAAGTTATTTAGAAAAAAACTCATCGGAACCAGAGTCTTCATCGCAATCATATAGAGAAAAGTTTAAATTTATAAATATGAAAAGAAATTACGATCCACCAGGTATCTTTCCTTAACCTTGGAATTTTTAATTTTTTTAATTTTTTAAGCAAGCTAAAAATTTTTTTTATAATAGGAAACTTGTCAGAACTTGGACCTCGTCATGATAACGATTTTGAAGATTTCACCAAGATTCTAATTGCTCCTACAAAAGATGAAATTCTTTGCGTACGCGAACCTTTTATACCAACATTTAATATTCCTGGAAGTTTAGAACTATATTGGACTCAAAATAATGCCGAAAGACTTCTAGACTCACAATTTAGATTGCTTCGTGAAGATATGCTTCATCCTATTAAAAATGGCATAATTCAGTTTTTAAGTTTTATGTCAGACAACCAAGCTGTAAATCAAACAAAAATCCGAGAGTATTATAATGACGGTGGTAAATTTAATCATAATGGTGGTGGATTATATGTTTATTCCAATATCAAGTTTGAAAATATTTCAGTTGATAGACGCTGTGGTTTCCTGCTCAAAGTTTCTTTTAAACAACGACATATGAGATCATCATATGACAGGAGGCTGTATTGGAGAAATTCTAAAAAATTGATGAATGGAAGTTTGATATGTTTATTATTGCCACCTGCAAATGATAAATCTCAAAAGGTCAATGATCAATATTCATTTTTTTTTGGAATTGTCGCATCAAGAGATGAATCAGATTTGTCCAAAGAACGAGCAGAAATTGGAATTGAACTTATAGGTGATTCCGTTTATCCAATTGCCATCAAGCGAATATTTCAAAAAAAAAATACTTTTCACTCTTCAAATTTTATGGTGGAACCTGCAGGGGTATTCTTTGAAGCATATTATCATGTTCTTAAGACTATTCAGAGTACAAGGCCATCCACATTACCATTCGTACAATATCTGACACCACCCAAAGAGGAGGATGAGTTAATGGGTCTTCAAGCCCCTGTTTATGCAAAAGCACCAGATTTTTATTTTGATTTATCAGCTTTGCTTGAAAATAAAAGCAAGAGACTTCTTTTAGATGTCAAAGATCCTAACTCTTATCGAAATGCTATCAATGAACTTAAATCTAGTAAATTGGATGATACTCAAGGTAAATTAATACGTGTGTTAATATTTAAATCAATAAATTATTCAGTCGCAACATTGACATTAATAATTATCATCAATATTAGCTGAAGCTTTAGTTTCATCACTTTGCCGTGAAATTGCATTAATACAAGGTATGGTTTTGATAACTGTCTAAATATATCATGGCATTATATCTCATTTATTTACTTATTTTAATTTCTGCCTTCTTTAGGCCCACCTGGAACAGGAAAAACCTTTGTTGGTGTAGAATTGATGAAAGTTCTTCTTTCACATGAAAATCGAACTAAAGGAAAATTTGGTCCAATTTTAGCCATCTGTTTTACAAATCATGCCTTAGATCAATTTTTGGAGGTATAATATTAATTCTCTGCTTTTTCAAATAAATTCATATTATTAATTAATTTATTATTGAATGTATAATAATTATTATTTATTCTAAAAGATTTTTGTATACATGTAAGATTGAATTAGACAATTTTACTGGAGTTGATGTGTTAGAAATATTAATTGCAGCTGGTGAACTTGGTCTTGAGTCACTTTATGAATATACAATGAATTATTTTATTAAAAAACATGAAGATTATGTAAAAGAAAACCCAGTTAAAATTCTACAATCAATTTATTCTAATGAAAAATTTAAGGAATTGAAAAATATCTATTTAGAAAAATTTTGTAATTATAGTGAAAAATTATTTGAATCAAATGAATTTGAATCATTGGAAAAACCAATTTTATTGGAAATTCTCAAAAGAGATGATTTTTCTGTTAATGAGATAGTTATTTGGGAAAATGTTCTTAAATGGGGATTATCAAGACATCCAGAAATCAATTATAATGATCCTAAAAGTTGGTCACCACAAAACTTTGCTGATATGGGCAACACAACAAAGGATCTTATTTCTCTAATAAGATTTCAGGATATTTCTAAAGATGATTTTTTTAATAAAATTGTACCCTATCAAAAACTTCTTGCTGAGTTCTTTTGGAACAACTTATTACAATATTATTTATTTCCTGATAGACAACAATCATTAAACTTATTGCCATCAAGAAATATAAA